CCACAGCGCCACTTCTGGCTTAGTCTGACTTTTCTATCGCCATAAACTCATTATTATTGAGAAAAACAGGTTCGGGGCAGGGTGTGTAGCTTAGTGGTAGAATGCTAGCATAGTATATGCAAGGCTCTGTAGTTGCTACCTAGAACTGCCAATAAAAGAAATAGCTAGGCTGAGTGCTAGTGGTTTATGCCTGTAATCCTAGTTACTCAGGAAGCTGAGAGCCAGAGGATTGTGATTTGAAGCCAGCCCAATAAGAAAAGTCCAGGGACTGGAAAGGTGGCTCAGTGGTAGAGGCTTGCCTTGCATGAATGAGGCCATGGGTTTGATTCCTCAGCACCACATAAGCAGAAAAACCCGGAAGTGGTGCTGTGGCTCAAGTGGTAGAGTGCCCAGGCCTAGAGTTCAGGCCCCAATGACTGACCAAAAAAAAAAGTCCAAAACTCCATCTTCAAAATAATCAGCAAAAAGCCTGGCTAGAGGGGCCACTAAAATTATAAAATGCTATCTGAAGAAGCAAGAAAGCTAAGCAAGCTCATAACCCTGAGTTCAAACCCTAAACCATAAAATTAAAAAACAAAAAACCTGGGTGCCGGTGGCTCACACCTGTAATCCTGGCTACTCAGGAGGCTGAGATTTGAGGGTCATGGTTCAAAGCCAGCCAGGGCAGGAAAGTTCATGAGACTCTTATCTTCAATAAACCACCAGAAAACTGGAAGTGGCACTGTGGTTCAAGTGGTAGAGCACTAGCCTTGAGCTGAAGAGCTGAAGGACAGCACCTGGGCCCAGAGTTCAAGCCCCACGACCGACAAAAAAAACCCCACCAAACTGGGAATAGTTGTGTATACTTATAATTCTGGCCCTTGGGAGGTTGAGGCAGGAAAATAGGGAGTTCAAGACCAGCCTTAGCTACATAACAAGACACCCTTCTTCCTAAGGGGTGGAAAAAAGCTGGGTTTGGGCTTTTCTTTGTTGGTTGACTATTATTGCCTCAAACTCTTTGCTTGTAATAAATCTGTTTAAGCACTGCAATAAATCTGTTATTTCCCATGGTGTTTATATACCATATCTTCTGCAGGTTGGGGTACACATGTAATTTAAATGGTAGAGCTCTTGCTTAGCCTTGTTTGCGTTCAATCCCCAGTGCTGCAAACAAAACAAATCCCAGTTTTGCTGTGTTTTGAACCCCATATTGCCTTCTGTTGGTGTGTTGACAGAGGACTCTGCCATATCCACTCTTACTTGTTAAACAGTAAGTGTAATTATTTTCCTAGTTCTGCACTGCCACATTCAAGTAGTAGCTTCTCTGCTCCAATGTAACAAGTCCTTTTTGATGAACCTACATTTTCATTTCTACTTTATTCTGTTGGTTGTGGGGCTTATACTCGGCCTGGGCACTGTCCCTGAGCCTCTTGGTGCTTTCAAGGCTATCTCTCTACCACTAGAGCTATCGCGCCACTTCTGGTTTTTGAGTGATTAATTGGAGTTTCATGGGGACTTCTGCCTGGGCTGGCTTGAACCACGACCTCCCATCTCAGTCTCCTGAGTGGCTAGGATTGCAGGCATGAGCCACCAGTGCATGACTTCCTACTCTACTTTAGAATTTGAGGGTTTATAGTCTGATTCCTTCTCTTAAACTATCAAATGCTTCCTTGTCCAGCCTGTGCCCATAGCTTATTCTGAACAATTGTTGGAAACTGCTCTCTACAGTTTTTCCTTACAACCCTAGACCTTGTTCTTTTGGTTGTGTGTGTGTGTGTGTGTGTGTTTGTGTTTCTGGAGCTTGAACTCAGGTCTTGGGTGCTAACCCTAAGCTTGTTTGCTCAAGGCTAGTACTCTGCCACTTGAGCCCCCTACTCTACTTCTAGCTTTTTGGTGATTAATTGGAGATAAGAAATTCATGGGTTTTCCTAAATAGGCTAGCTTCAAATCAATATCTTGGCCTACTGAGTAGCTAGGATGACAAACATGAGCCACTGGTGCCTGGCTGGTTCTGTTTTGTTTAACTCATCTTCTTCCCAGTGTATGAACTTGCCTGAGGTCCTGTACTTCCACAAAAAGGAAGTGAAGGTTAGTGAAGTTTTATGTGATGTT